CTGGTTATTCTCTATCAAATGAACGAAGATCTTGTCTTTTTCTTAGAGATACACTGACTGGCCATCAGTTCCTTTCCAGTCCTCTTCCACTGATATAAACAACCCCGCAGAGTTTGTGGCAAAAAGAAATGTAGGTCATAAGAAAAAAAGAAAAAGAGAAGAAAGGAGAAGGAGATGGAGAAGGAGAAGGAGAAGAGGAAAAGGAAGGGGAAGGGGAAAGGGAACAGGAAGGGGAAGGAGAACAGGAAGGGGAAAAAAAAGAGAACGAAAAAAAAAGAAAGATGCTTAATAGTGAGAACAGGCAGTTGGCTAAGTGCGCTTTCAGTCCATGAATACATTTCAGCACTTCTGCATAAAGGGAGTAAGCTTTTTTTCTTATTGCTGTTGTTTGTTCTGTGTTTAACTGACCAGAAATGCTTGCCTATGCTATATGATGTTAATTCCTATATTCCAAGCATATTCAGATCCTTTGAGGTACGCTATAAATGGGCAAAACAGTATTCAGACTCCCCAGGCCATCCTCAGCCCTTATGATCCACCCTAACAAAAATAGACAGATAGATAGATAGATACATAGATAGATAGATAGATACTGCATGTAGCACTTTTCTCTCTGCATACACAGAATTATTGTAATTCTGGTCATTAAACATAGGTATGTATAACCAACTACAACAGAAATAGTCAAAGTGAGGCTTCATGTTCCAGATACTTCTTTCTCATCTTCAGTCCAAAAGCATTTTATTTTTGATGTTGCACAATTTATTATTGCTGTTGGTTGATTTTTTTATAAGTTGAGTGCAGCACTCAAGTCCATTTTGACTTGAGAAGTCATATACTAGAGTACAAGAGTTTAGGAAGATCAGGACCATCAGATTTTAGTGAGGAGAGAGGTATACAATGGTCAGAGGAGTGAGCAGGGAACAAGAAGAAAGCTTTACAACATCTATCTAGCGGAAGTAATGCCCTGTTTTATTTGATAGTTCGCATTTCTTGCAGGAGTTAAAGCTCAGTTTCTAATCACTTTCTCATCATTAAGACTCACAGAAGCCACACAGTGAAAAATAAAGCCAAGTCTTTCTGGAAACCTGTTAGGTCAGGCTTGTGCATAACTACAAAGTTAGGGCTCTTTACTACTCTAAGTGCCTTGTTTATGCATATGTGTAACACACACACATGCAGACACACTGTAAGAGATTATTCTTTTACATCACTCTCTCAAAGCTTGCTGAGGACACAGATGAACAAGTCCAAACAAGTCCTGGACAAGGGTTGAGAAATCCGTTGTCAGAGGGACGCAGATGGACAAGGCCAGAGGCAACGAGAGAGAGAGATAAGCCACAGATTAATGGCCAGGAAGCAGTCTTTTATGTGGACTTATCTCAGGGGAGATGGCCATCTCAGGGGGTACTGCACATGACTCTTACCCAAGCACCCAGGAATGCCACGATGGCAGAAGAAGTATAAAAAGGGGACCAACAACCATGAAGTTAGGTTTCTGACAACAGATTCCTCACGACCTGAGACCTGCATGCTGAAGAAGAACAAGAAGGTGTCTGATACCCGAAGCCTCACGAGCTGATACCTGCATGCTGACGGACTCTCCTGGGCCTGCTACCTGAAAGCTGCTGCTTCCTCCTGGACTTACCCTGTGGCTTCTTCCTGCTACCTGCTTGCTGCCCAAGGACAGCCACACTGCTGCTGCTTTCCCCGTGCACTTTTGCCTTGGACCATCGGAACGGGATGCTGCTGGATCCTGCTGAGGACTACCCCAGCTCTATCCAATTTTTGCTTCTTTCCTATCTTTTCTTTCACCCTCTTTCCCTTCCCCATCTCCCTGATTAAGATTTGCAAAAAATTGGTGGGACCAACGTTTGAACCATTGCTTCTTAATCTCACAACAGGTATACATATGTCAAAGAACCTCCTCTCCTTTCTATAAACTGGAGTGAGACACACATGTACATATTAATACACATATATACATATATCATGAACATAAGAGAAAAAATGTTCTGTACAGTGTGGAAGGAGAAATGTTCAACAGCAGTTGGCCACATGCTAAGTGCAAAATGAAGATACTCAATGTATTACATTTAGAAAATAAAGATTAGTGCCTACCTTAGCTTTGATCAAAGATTATGATCACCCAGGGCCTAGCAGTCAAGGCTGGCACATTGCAGAACATACCTTCTCCTAGCTTTCTTTCCTCCACAAATACCATGGTAGATGTACAGCAAAGTTAGAGAAAAGCAAAAAGAATACAGTTTGAAGGATATGTGAAAGGATTTAAGATCTGACGGGAAAGTAAATGGAAGAGACCTGGATGGGAGAGTACTGGAAAGCTTCTGTTGCCTACAACCTGGGTAATCTAAAGGAAAGAAAAGCAAAGCAGGCAATCTGCTGCCTGGCTATGTGATGTCACAGATAATGCTAATCCTTAGACTCTCCTGTGTTCTGCCATGCTGGGACCAGCTGTCAAAAGCTATCTTGTGGAATCATAGAATCACAGAATCATAAAATGGCCTGGGTTGAAAAGGATCACAATGATCATTGAGTTTCAACCCCCCTGCTATGTGCAGGGTCGCCAACCACCCTCCAGGCTGCCCAGAGCCACATCCAGCCTGGCTTTGAATGCCTCCACAGGGATGGGGCATCTACAACCTCCTTGGGCAACCTGTTCCAGTGTGCCAACACTCTGTGTGAAAAACTTCCTCCTAATATCTAACCTAAACCTCCTGTCTCAGTTTATTTCCTCTTGTCCTATCACTATCCACCCTTGTAAGCAGCTGTTTCCCCTCCTGTATATAAGCTCCCTTCAAGTACTGGAAGGCCACAATGAGGTCACCTCAGAGCCTTCTGTTCTCCAAGCAAAACAAGCCCAGTTCCCTCAACCTTTCTTCATAGGAGAGGTGCTCCAGCCCTCTGGTCATCTTAGTGGCCCTCCTCTGGAACCGTTCCAAGAATTCTGCATCTTTCTTGTGCTGGGGGCTCCTCGCCTGGACGCAGTACTGCAGATGCTACCTCACAAGAGCTGAGTAGAGGGGGACAATCACCTCCCTCTCCCTGCTGGCCACCCCTTTTTTAACGCGGCCCAGAACACAGCTGGCCTTCTGGGCTGCAAGCGCACACTGCTGGCTCATGTCCAGCTTCTCATCCACCGGGACCCCCAAGTCCCTCTCTGCAGGGCTGCTCTCAAGGGCAGATACAGTGAAGGCAGTGATATCCCTATAAGCAACCTAGAGAAACTTTAAGTCTTACATAAACACTAGAGAAACTTTAAGTCTTACATAAACACAGCTGCAACTTATTTGGCAAAAGAAAATGCTAAGCCTTGCAACAGTGAGTGGCAAGGGAAAGACATTATCTCACAGGGTGCTGGTTTTCTTTGCCTGCCTCTTCTGGATTGCTCTCACTCACGGCTGCTCTTTCCTTCCTTCTCTATATCTTTCTGTGCTAAGCCAAGAGGCAGTGCAGAACTATTCTTCCGGTGTGTTGGTCCTTGCCCTTTCTTTACCTCTGATCAGCTCAATTCCTGGAGGCACTTTCAGCAGTTTAGAGGATAGAAGATAAAGGCACTGCACAACTACTTAAATCAATTAGTTAAGTCTCTTCAGTGAGTTTTAGGGGAATACAAAAAAATTTCAAATGACTGAAAAACAAAACAAAACAAAACAAACAGCTCCTGCAATTTGGATGCATATAGTAGATAAGTTTCATTTACATTCTGAGAATGCACCAAAAAGCATGCATCTACATCTTTCAAATATAAAGTATACTAGGTTTTAGGTGCTGCTATATATAACTTGTCTTCTTAGTTTTCCATATAGCTTTCCCTTTAAGTGATGGGATATATCCCTTTCTGACAATGCCTGGACAAAAGCCAACATGGTTTCCTGAGCAGTGCAGGAAACAGGTTTCCCTAATCTTCCATTCAGGCCTTTGATCTATTAAGCACTTTTTAATTTTTGATTTTTTTTTTTTAATGATTATTATTGAATTCATGCATTAATTAAAGTTACACGTTATTCAAATAGGCCATAATGCTGAATATTTGAACATGCTTTGATCTCCAAAAGTTATTGTTCCCATTTGACTAACATACACTTTAAAGTACTAGTCAACAATTTAGTAAGTTAAGTAGTGCACTTCTGGTGAATGCAACCCAAAATAAAGAAAAAAGGAAAAAAAAAAAACAAGAGAGATAAAGGACCTATTTTTAGAAGATTCATTTCAAACAAAAGCTTATCCATTATTGTCTGAGGTAAAGTTTCAGGCATGCGATTATAAAATAAATAGCATCAATTTCAAACATGCTTATATTAAACTATATTGTGCTGTCTTGCAACAGAAGAACTAGAAGTTTTGTATACAGTTCTGGATAGGGAAAAGTGCATTAAGATCATCTGCGCATGAGAGAACTTAGCAGCAGTGCAAGTGTTTTGCCTTCAATTCTGTTTGCTATTTTTAAATAATTATTCTATGGATAGAAAAACGACCAGCCTTAAGTGTATTTAAATAAGGTGCTGATGTGTAGGTAGGAACTATGTACTCTCTCAAATAGGGTGCGGAAGGAAAATTTGCATCCCTTCATAAAAACAGTGGTAAACGTTTGCTGCATGTTAGTACTTTTTTTACTATTATCTGATTCACTCCCTTGCAACTGTGCATGTTTGCAGGATATTTTAACTGGAATCCATGCATACGCTTCAGTTTTAAAAATTGTCTTCCTTAGTTGAACTTAAGTGTGTCAAAAAAAAAAAAAAAAAAAAAAAAAAGGTGGATGGAACAGGAAAAGTTTAGGTCTAGCATCATTCAGTTTAAAACCTAACTAGTTCAAATAATGATCATTTACCAGATGGAAAATGTGGGGTTTTTGAAGGTAAACAAAATTTTATCATTCATGGATCCTGGAAGCCTCTTTATCTCTGAACAAAAACTCACAATGCAACAATGCATTTACGAGGTAAATAAAGCATTCAAAGACTATCAGTAAAGCATCTACAAAGTGTGACTATGTCACTTAAGTCTTCAAGCTGTGAGTGGGGATTTTGGTCTTTTGTTTACACATCAGTCAGCAGCTTGCTTTTATTAACACAGTTTTGGTTGGCTATAGTGCAGTTGCCAGTTCTGAGATTAGCCTCCCTAAAATTGTCTATGCTATTATTCATATCCTCTTCGATTTCCATATACTCAGATTTGCTGATAGTGGAAGAGCTGCGGCGACTGAGATCACTGTCAGATGCTAAATTTGGGGAGCTAACATGAAGTAACTGAGCCTGTTCTTCCCCTTCTGTTTCTCGGTGGTAGAAGTAGTTGAAGTTGGACACGATGACAGGTACAGGCAGGGCAATTGTCAGCACACCAGCGATGGCACACAAGGAGCCTACGATTTTGCCTCCAATTGTCACAGGGTACATGTCACCATAGCCCACAGTGGTCATGGATACCACCGCCCACCAGAAAGCATCGGGGATACTTGTGAAATGAGACTCAGGTTCTTCAGCCTCTGCAAAATACACCGCACTAGAGAACAAAATCACCCCAATGAAGAGGAAGAAGATTAGTAAACCTAGCTCTCTCATACTTGCTTTGAGGGTCTGTCCCAGAATCTGGAGGCCCTTAGAGTGCCGGGAGAGTTTGAAGATTCGAAAGACTCTTACCAGTCTGATGACTCTCAGAATGGCCAAGGAGGTGGCCTGCTCTCCCTTCTGAGTCCCCTCCCGCTCAGCCATCTCAGTGCCCAAGGTGATGAAGTAAGGGATGATGGCCACAATGTCAATGAAGTTCATTATATTCTTGAAGAATTCAGTCTTGCTGGGGCAAGCAAAGAAACGCACCACCAGCTCAAAGGAGAACCAGATGATGCATAGGGTCTCCACAACAAAGAAGGGATCTGTGAAGATATTGGATTTGTAGACCTGAGTGGTGTTGTCAGTACGATGCACTGTATACTCCTTGTCCTCCTTCAGCTCAGGTAATGTCTCTAGGCAGAAGATCACAATGGAGATGAGGATCACCATGACAGAGACTATTGCAATGACCCTTGCAGGCCCAGAGCTTTCTGGGTACTCAAAGAGGAGCCATACTTGACGCTGGTACTCTCCCTCCGGCAAGGGTCTCTCCTCATCTTTGATGAACCCTTCATCTTCCCGGAACTTCTCCATGGCTTCCTCACCCAGCTCATAAAATTTTATTTCCTCAGAGAACATGTCCAAGGGAACATTGACCGGCCGGCGAAGCCGTCCCCCAGACTGGTAGTAGTAGAGGATGGCATCAAAGCTGGGCCTGTTTCGATCAAAGAAGTACTCATTGCGCAAAGGGTCGAAGTACCGCATGCGCTTCTTGGGGTTGCCCAGCAGTGTGTTGGGGAACTGGGCTAAGGTCTTTAGCTGTGTCTCAAAGCGTAGTCCAGCAATGTTTATCACTACCCGTTCACAGCATTCATGGTCATCATGGGCAGCAGGCTGGTAGCTATCCTGGGGGTGACCAGGTAGCACAGAAGTCTCATCCATGTTCTCTCCAGCCATCACAGTCATTATGGCACAGAGAATGAGGGACCCAGGCTGAAGTGAGGAGAGGAAAAGAAAAGAGAGGAGAGGAGAGGAGAGGAGAGGAGAGGAGAGGAGAGGAGAGGA